CAGAAGGAGTGCACCCTCCACCTTGTCCTCCGCCTCCGTGGTGGCATGTAGATCTTTGTCAAGACCCTCACCGGCAAGACTATCACCTTGGAGGTTGAGTCTTCTGACACCATTGACAATGTGAAGGCGAAGATCCAAGACAAGGAGGGCATCTCCCCGGACCAGCAGCGCCTGATCTTCGCTGGTAAGCAGCTTGAGGATGGCCGCACCCTAGTGGACTACAACATCCAGAAGGAGTCCACCCTTCACTTGGTGCTCCGGCTCCGTGGTTGCCAGTAAGCTCCTGGACATGGTGCTTCTGTTTTTGGGTTCGCAAGTCTTGGTGCTTTAGTTGGAGTTGTCGGTGTGTTGTCTGGGTCTGTTGTAGGTGTCTTTGTTTCTTATAGTACTGTGATGCAGTGTTTACTAGTTGGGTATGAAACTTTTGCTGTTGTGCAACATGTTTGGTGAACTATGAATAAGTGAGCCCTGAATTCGGTCTATTATTCTGTTATATTCTGAGGTCGGTCTATAATTCTGTTATTCTTGCCTTGGTGAAAAACATAGTTCTATGTCATAGCATCTGCATAGGCCCTTTCTACATCTAAAACGCTTGTGTTTTCCCTAATGTACCCAACATCACTTCAAATCACTACGCTAACCAGTCCTAGGCTAGTTCTATGTTGTAGCATCTGCGTATGTCCTACACTAGTCAGTTCAAAACATGAAAGCAGTGCATATATAGAGACAATATATTGCTTTTAATTTTCACAGATGGCAGTCCTCATGGTCTGAAAAATGGCTGGACTGATTGTTATGATCATTTCTCCTTACCATGCCGACGAGGGAGTCTGAGATCAAAAACACACCATTGCCACCAAGTATGGGAGCAACGGATCAGGACATGCATCAAGTTCTATTCTAAGATACCACATGTTTTATTTGCTTTAGGTCAATATATAGTTGTTAGTTAAAAAAATATCAAAAATTTCGATCTCTTTTGACTCTTCCTGCTGACAAGTGACAACACATATTCCATGTGTGGACTACTTATTATCTAATGCCTTGCTGTAACGTGATCTATTTCTCTTTTTTTTCCTTGCAAATTTATCAATTTTCGTTGTGCAAACCCAGGGTTGGCAAATGATATGAAATATTATATGCTATACACTGAATCTTTGATATGTTTTACAAAACTCTACTTATTATCCAAGGCAATCCCATCAGTTATTTCTTAATATGAGCCATATACAAATATCAATTCTTATTTTTGCACTCTTACTTTAGGGAAAATATGCCATTTCTGCTTCTGAGAATTCATGACTGAAAAACCTGTTATATTGATCTGAGCCAGTGCAATGAAAAAGCTGTGGGTTTCCCAGTGGTGATAGTGGAAATTCATGATTAATATAGCTGTTGAACCTTTGTATCTTCCATGTTCTTGATCTGAATTAGGAGCTTGTAATTTGTTCTGAAACATCATCTGAAATGCCAATGATGCTATGCCCAACATTTTGACGTGCAGATGGCTCCAGGATCCTGTTTACAGGATGAACCTACCTGGAGGCGCTGTATCCACATGACATCCAATGGGCAAGTCTGAGGTTCTTGATAATCACATGCAACTTTTCTTGTTGTTTCCAAGTTGACTTCTGTTTTTAATTGACAAAACTAAGCGTTTGTGTATCATTTTTGCTTAGTTTAACTATCATTCCACAAGTACCTCTGATTTGTGGTAGAGGCTGAAAAACTTGCAGACCGTGTGTTGTCATCAGCTTTGTCTCTTGTTCCTACGAGATGGGAGTTAAATAACGACACGAGATTCACTCACGCATTCCCGCCTGAACCATCTGTGTTGGGATCTGTTTTAGGTTCCCAATGGCAATCTTACTTGCCTTGAACCGAACTAGATGTAATAAAATTTAAAATGTATTCCCTTCGTCCAAAACTATGAGATCATTTTTGACACAAGAATGATCTTATATTTTGGGAAGGAGGGAGTAGATAGTTAAACAATGCGCTTGATATTATTTTCCAGGAAATTCAGTAGCTCTATTCATTTGGGTAATGTGGAAGTTGGAGCACATCAATGATAAATGACCAGTTCATGAACAATTCCTCCCCCTCAATTCTTTTGGCTGGTGCAATGGACCCATCTGTCTCAAAGGATGAGGGAATACTGCAACAATATGATCCATGATCTGATTCTTAGTATTTAACTCCCCGATGATCACTTTCTTATTTTTTCTCTTATTTTTCGTTTCCAAAAGATCTCGTGGGATTTGATGAAGAAAAGTTGGTCCGTGTTTCTGATGTCTAGTGACTAATAACCATGTTTAATTTCCTTCTGATCCATCATGCAGATGCATCTTTGTTTATCCTTTTTTTTCTTGTACTTGCCATTTTAGGTGTTCTCGTTTTGTGGCATTGCGGTGATGAATTTATGTATTTTCGCATGTCAGACTTCAGAGATGCCCCTGGCGTCAGCGAGAATTCATATCATATGACTGAGCAATGAAATACCATCTTTAATATTCATGGTCTACCTCGCTCTTGTGCCTTATTACAAACTGCTGATGCCTTCGCGATTTTCTTGATGGAAGAACATTCATACTCGCTGCAACAAAACAGAGTTGGTGTGACGGATAAATGTGCCGTTTCATCACACAATAACACAGCCCATATGCTTCTCGTATGTTAATCATCGAATGCACTACTCAGATGCGATTGAATGTCGAGGAACTATATTGCTTTATCTGTTGTTGAATTTGACTTGACTTTGTATTGTCTTCAAAGTCGAAGGAGCATTGTTGTTGCAGACAAGGAGACACAAATTTTATGAGTAATTTGCGTTTGAGTCATCTCTGTGATGTCAGACACTTTTCACCTTAGAGATCTGATGCATCCTTGATAATATCCTCTTCCTTTGTGTCTTTTTGTTTCTTTGTGCTTTGTTCTAGAACAAGAAGAGTCATTCTATGCATAATTACATTGTTGACGGATGATATTATGTCCAATGAATCATGTAATAGCTCTATCTGATCGTATCCCATGCTAGTTTTATTCTATATGTTCCAAGAAAGAAAAGTTTGCCAGTTTGGCCACTTTCTCTTATTTAATTTGTTGGCCATTTTGTTGTTGTTGAAATGAGAGTTGTTGATATAGATGAGGAGACACGAGTTTATGGGTAATTTTCGTCTGAGGCATTTATGTGATGTCATTCCTTTTCACCTTGGTGATCTGATGCACCCCCCTCACTCAGTAGTTCTCCTTCAAAAACCTTTTGCTTTGGTTTGTAATGGGTGGTATGGAATGATGAATGAGATTTTAGTTTCCCTATTGGTTTGATTGGCCGATATGATAGCCTAAATACTGATCTGAAACTGAACATCACAATAAGCTGATATGTTTTTGGTTGCCTCATAATGTTCATTAGCTTTGTTATTTGTGTAGTAATTGCATTTAATCAATACATTTATTTTCTAGTTAAATAGACAGAGATGAGATGATCAATGATTAATTTCCTTATTGGCTTGACTGGTCAAGATGATGGCCTAAATACTGAACCGAATCTGATCATCCTCGCTTCTTTGATACAAAAGGAAATGATTTTGTTTTATGCTTTCCTAGTTTTAAAAAGATGTGCTGGAGTTCTTTGTTGTAGAATGGTACCAAAAATGATTTTAGTGCAGTTCACCCATGTTGGCTGGCCGGTCTCCTTTGACAAGCCACCGAATCCTCAGGCCGATTGGCGGCCATTCTCTTTCCTCCCGGCCTTGATGTCAGATGGGAGGCAGTGTTGTTTCTTGCTGGAAGTGATCTTGGATCTCTTTTCATGTTTTTTTCTCCTAGTGCCATGGTTATTCATGATGTTGCGGCTGAGGATTAAATAAACTATACTATAGACAAGCATATGTCTGAATTTTCTTCATGTGGAACAATCTAATCTTCAGTACGAGGCCAATGACCTTGTGTTTTATTTGATGATTTTGTTGTTAATCGGTTTGCCCAGATTGAGTGATGATCACAAGTGCATAGTTCAGGTGATCACAAAGGACACCGCTTTCAGGTCGTCTAGAAATCTCACACTCAATGCATGAATGGACCATAAACCCCCACCCCCACCTTCTTCAGGTCTAGTTTAAGATGATGGTCAAGTTGATAAAGGACCATACACCCCTTATAAATCTTGTTGCTGGTACTCAAAGGCCATAAACTAAACCACTGCACTAGCCAGTCCTAGGCTAGTTTTTTTGGATATTTTCATATCTACGACATCTCTTCCATAAATCACATGATGATGCAGACCTATTGCTATAGGTATAATAGAGGTCGTTTGGTTTGCGCCCGCGCCGGCCATGTGAATCGAGGGCTTGCCAAATAATTGGCGCGGGATTTGCCAACCCACGCCTTGCCAAAAAGTTGGCTGGAATTGAACTACAGAGGGGTGGGCACACCAATTATTTGGCCTCCATCCAAATGAACACCACGCCCGGGTCAACGACCAATATTTTGGCATGGCGTTTCAGGGCAATGATCTAATATGTTGTATGTCTACAGGGAGCACGAGCTGGGCGTGTCTGGCGTCGTGTTATTATCTTTGTTGAACGTCAAACACATTGGCTCATTTTCAGGTATGGACATAATAAGAGGCAATGGAAAAAAACATCCATTAAGAACTAAAAATTCTGCAACCTTAATTGATCAAGAATCCCATGGAATTTCTAGGTTGAGTCAAGAACGGATAAAAATTTAGGAGAAATCGTATCCAAGAAACTTGATCAGAGAAAGTTTCTCCTTAAACATTGTCCGTATTCAAGAACCTTTCTTCAGATTGTAAAAAATACTTCCTTCAAAGATTGTACAAGAGAGATCGTGATTGCAAGCCACCACGAGCTGGATCTGACACAGTCCCCACCATGATGTGGCTTCGCCGCCCATATCCGGCATTGCTCATTGCAGGACAACGCCAGGTAGTGCACATGGAAGGACAATGAGCCTGATGTAGTTGGAGCAACTACGATGGGCAAGGAGTTGGTGTGTGCGGCAAGTGGAGGTTGCGACCGAGACTAGCACTAGACATCCAGAAACCTATAGTGCCCCTGCGCTTTGGAGGAATATGAGAAGGGTTGGGATACAAGTTGTGCTAGATTTGGCGGCAAAGGTGCGAGGTCATGGCGTTGTTCTGGGAGTACACAGTGGTTGAGCGGTGGGTTTTTGCTATGTGTGGGGGCCGTTCACAACCAATGGCGACGCACAACTACATGTAAGAGCATCAATAGTGTTTGGAGGC